GGATGATGATGAGGAGGAGGAGGAGGAGGGAGATGATGGGGAGGAGGAGGAGGGGGAGTCTGACGACGGAGGAAAAAGGAAAGGAGGACGTCGACGTCGACGCCGGCCGCGCATCAGAGCGAGTCCTGTTCCCGAGTGGTTGCGCCGCGAGACCGGGGCGGGAAAGTCGTTTGGGGAGATCCGGGCGATCGTTGCGCGGATCCGGGCGGATCTGACCGAGCAGCATCGCCAGGCACAAAAGGCCAAGGGGAAAAGTAAGGAGCAGGTGTTGTTTCCGGACATTGAGATCCTGCCGACGTTTCGGGGGTGGGTTCTGGAGAAGGCGGATGGCGGGAGAGAAGGGAAGAAGATGTCGAGGGTGAGTAGGAAGGGAGCGGTGCAGAAGATACGTGGGTGATCCAGATCCAGGGACTCCGTAGGTGGGCCATGTGAAATGTGATGCGATGCGTTCTTCATTAGCATTAATCGTGACGCCTGTAGGCTACATACACAACGCCGAAAGGATCAAACCCTGAATTAGCCGACGCAGACATAAAAAGTGAAAAATACCAAATCTGCAGCCGTGCGCTGCTAAATGAGTACCAGAATTTAGACAAGATCCAACCCTTTTCACAGTCAAGAATGATCCGGAATCAACTCATACCCCCCCTCCGACGGAAGACTATTCGCCGCAAGGATCATGACCACCGCACAGAAAAGACTCACGCACCAGCTGACAGTACAGTAAATCCAGGACTCGCCCAGCCGCCAGCCGACAAAGAAGCGGTCCTCATTGTCAAACAAGTATGCCTGCCAGTGCCCTTGTCAACTACGGACGACCCGGGGTTTTGAGATAAGGCGACTTACGACAATCGACATACTCGCCGCCTGCACAATCGCAGACAGGATAATCAGCAGACTCAGCACCTTCCACCCCGACTCGCGCAGCCGTTTCCCGCCCGACAGCACAATCAGATACGCAACCACGCTCATCCCCTCCAGCACAACAGCAAAGGACATCAGGAACCCGACGGTCCGCCACATGGAGCAGAAGTACCGGTCCTCGCCATGGCAGTCTTCGCGCTGGGGGAAGCTCTCGCAGACGTTTGTGAGGGAGGAGCAGCGACGGTGGAGGCCGTAGGAGTAGCGGAACTAGCAGTGCCGAGTCAGTCCAATTCAGCCCAGATGGTCTGTAAAATCCGCAAAAATGCATGCGAAAATACATGCGCACCTTTTCGCTATGATAGGTGACCCATTTCGGGACGACGATGGATGAGATCGTAAGGCCGAATGCTGTGGTTCGTTAGCCTCCGCCCAGTCGCGAGCGCAATGTACGAGATTCAAAGTACCTGCAAGGAATAAAAGTAAGGTGCCGGTGTAGACGATGGTTTTTGTCAAGAAGCCTGTGTAATTCCTGTCTGTTCCTCGAGGGACGAGATGGAAATCCATTCCTGCGTACGCGGTCGATAACCTGACTCAGTCGTATAGTGTAGCAAGGGCAGCGGGTGATGACGACACAGCTGTTGGCGGTCGGAAGGAGACGGTCGACGCTCACTGACCGGCAGCGAGGGTTGTTACTCGAGTGGATGATGGTATAGAGGTGAGTAGGTCGATGCGATAGGGAGATTGATGGTATTGATTGGGAAAGGGCTCGAGTGTCGAAAGTCGGAACGCAAAAGACGGGTGAAGTGGTGCGACAGGGCGATGAGGACAGAATGAGGTGAGCAGAGTGGGGAGATCCGGATCGGATATCGACAGTTTATTGATGAGGTTCAGAGGATCATCAAGGAAATAACAATAACAATAATCATGAAAAGACAGACTTGGTTGCAGTAACTCCAATGATGGAAGAAAGTGGAAAGGCTTGGATGGGAAAGCAGCCGGTAGATATATATGGCTTGAGGATATCAAGGCAGCGATCTCTTACAGGTACAACCATCCCACGCAGTCTCTCTCATCATTCGACAAAAATCACCGCAACATGGGCCAGATATGTACACAGTACTACCTACCCACCGATTAATGATATATCCCACTTTTTCAAGCCCTTGGTCTTGTTATCACCGTGCTGGTCAATGACCGGTCATGCACGCCTACAAAGCGAATTCCTCTGTCCGAATGACCCGTCGATCAACCGAGCCACTATCATCCCCGTTCCCATCCAATCATCTCTCTTTCTACATGATCTAGACTCAAGGATAGTCTTGCGGTCTGTCGCATAATGAGGTCTTAGTCGGTCCTGTCACTCTAAACAGGGTTATCTGGTCGGTCAAAGCGTCGGCCATTGCGGGGGTTGCAGATGGCCTACTGCACATAGCATAGTGCGCATTGCGGACAGTAGATAATTAAGAAGAGAGATTCCCCCAAGATGCCAGGAGCAGACAATGCTGTCCATTTTTGTTGCGCAGTTGTAGACAGTCGCGTAGAATCATGTACTAGAAGGACATGACGACTCTCAGAAATAAGTATCACAGTTGTGCTATAGTGCTTAGTGCTAAACTTGAGCAAAGTTCTGCATGACAGACAAAGCAACGTCTATCAATTGATTCTCTAATGTCGCCTGCCACTCGGTCATAGAAGAACAATCCAAGTCATAGCAAAGGCAGTATTATCGGCAGTAATCACCCGGCCTGTAGATGTCTGCGGTATGTCCCCGGTCAACTGTCAAGTACAAGAAGAAGAATCATTACATGGACAACATGTCAACTCAGACGAGGGAAAGAAAAGGGAAGAAAGAACACAAAGTGTAAATGTAATCTACACGACGTCAAAACGAGCATCGTTCGCCTTCCCATACCAGGCGGGCATAGAATGGCATCACGACAGTTGAGAGAACTCTCCCGCTCGGGTCACCAAGGCAGAGAGCCATCCAGTAGAGGGACATCAATGAAGGGGAAATGAAAAAACGCCAAGCCGGTCATTGCAATCCGATGCGCCCCGCACAGTTTTACCCTTACTCGCCTCGATTCCGCTGGATCATGGCACGGAAATCATCATTGCTCTTCCTCGTCTTCTCACCGTCGACTTGGTGAGCGCTGCTTTCGGTCGTCACATTCGTTGTCGTCATCGTTGTCGCGCTTTTGGCGCCTTCTTCGGCTTTCGGGCTTCGCGAGGCTGTCGAAGGAATGCTGACCCGCTTCACCCCCAATCCACCTCTTCGGCCACCTCGCTGACCGGGCTGCACAGGACGCTTGATCGGTCCGGTCGGCTGGAGGAACGTGGCCTTCTCCTTTGGCTTTGGCGCCTGACTGGGGCCCAACTTCTTCTCCGCGGACTGCTTCAGCATTTCCGAGACCGTGCCCACATGCAATTTTCGACCCGGGGCGATTTCCTGTCCTTCAAGTTCGAGCGACGCCTTGCCGGCATGATTCACATCCGCAAACTCGACAATCGCCCCTTGATGATCAGGGCGCAGGACGATTTTGATGAGCTCCCCATAAGGTTGAACCAGTGCACGGATCCGCGCATCATTCACCGTGTCAGGGACGTTCATGAGTCCCAGGGTCCGCGCTGAGCGCTCTCTGGCTGCACCTTCAGGCTCGACCGATTGCGCTTTGGTCCCATTCACCTCGGCCGCAGGGGATTGTGATGTTCGGACGCGGTTCACGATAGTGGTTGCGGTTCGTTTAGCACCTTGGGGGGTCGAAATTCGCACTTGTAGCGGGCGCGAGCGGAACTCTTGTTCATGCATAGCAAGGGCAGCTTCTGCCTCCTCCTATTCGATAGTTTAGCTATAAACTCAGCCGCTGGATGGCCAGCAATCATACCTTGGTAGAGAAGACAATATAACCAAACCCCTTACTGCCCCCGTCGACCTTTCTGGGAATCCGCACCGTCTCAATAGTGCCATACTTTTTGAATGCTTCCTTGAGATCATCCTCATTGGCTTTCCAGTCAATATTGGAAATGTGGATCTCCCGCCCTTCGTAAACAGGTCCATGACGGTCCTCTTTACGCGTAGGATCTGAGATCTTGACCACCAGATTGAGATTGCTTCCAACCCGGGTGCCATTCAGCTTGGTCGCATTATGTGCATCCCCAGAGGACCTGAACTGCACGTAGCAGAATCGTCGATGGGTGTTGTATTTCAGCGATGGGAAGCGTATATCGACGATCTCGCCATACTAGAACTGGTTAGCTCACCATTAGAAGGGCTGTCGGGCAGGATCCTACCTCGCGGAACAGATTGCGGATATAACTTTCATCGGCAGTCGAGGGAAAGTTCGTAACGAACAAGGTGGATCCGGAGCCAAGTTGAACCTCAATAGTATTATCGTCAAGCAACTTTTGATCACGGGACTGAGCTACGAGAGCTTCATCTCTTGTTTCGAACTCAATGATGGCGGTCTCAGAGTTTCCATCGTCGCCTGGCAGCATCTTCAAGCCATTGATTGTCCCGCACTATCCAAGTCAGACGAAGAAGTGAAGACAATCGGGAGATTCGGGGAGACACTTACATGACGGAAGAACTGTCGCACTCGGTGTTCCGTAATATGGTGAGGCAAATTCTTGACGACTACTGTTGCGTTTTCGCGGTCGCGCCGGAGTGCGACAGGCTCAGGTTGCGCCGCAGGGGGCGCTGGCTCCTCGGCGCGAGCCTTTTTGCTGCTGGGAAAGCCATTGACTCCGCTGTCATCCTCGCGCTTACGCTTCTCGGTTTGAGATGCAAGCTCGGCAGCGGCCGCCTGCTGTTGCTGTAATGCCGTCGCTTCTCTAGCCTCCTTTTCTCGCCGTGCGTTGATGGCCTTCATGGCCTTCCTGGTCTCCAGGACGGCCTGTTGGAGCTCGTCCGAGTCCTCGTAATCTTCACAATGCGCGACGTATACCTGCATGATCTTCTCGGGCCAATCCAGGTCTGTCCTCTTGATGGCCTGTTTCAACACGGCAGTTGCAAAGCTGGGATTGGGAGTCCGCCGAGCGGCATCCACGGTCGCTTCTCCCTGGACAAATTTGCTCCACGAGATCAGCTCCCAATGATAGTAGGTGAGCCAGAACTCGTAACTATTGCCACGGCGACCGACCAACCCCTTGAAGGTTTCGCGGGCACTGTCCCAACTGCCGCTTTCACTCAGGTAACGGATATAGATGCGTTCGAGACGAAACAGCGGGTCGCCCTGATACGAGCGACCGTACTTCTTCTCGCCGAGTTCTTGGACACTTTCGATGGCGGATCGGATGCCAACCTCAGCAACATCGAGGTCCTCGTCGGTCGAATCTGAAAGGAAGGCGCGCCGACGAAGGTAGCTGCACCAGGCGGTATGGACTTTCAGTACCTCCTCCATACCACCGGCGTCCAGCAAGCCAGTACTTGTAGCTTTGTGTTTGATGTCCGCAATCTTCTGGAAGGATTGCCCTTCCCGCTCGGAGCTGAGGAGGTACTGCGACCAAAGGGTACCAGAGCATGGGCAATGCCGGGTGGCTCGGTCGAGCGTTGATATCGTGGTCGCATTCGCGTTACCGTGCGTATTCTGGTCAATGAGGAACATGACGTAGTCCTCCCAGAGGTTGGAGTCGGTCGGGAATCGTAGGACTGCGCGCTGGTAAATGGCGTTGACAAGGTCGAAATTCGAATGGCGTTTTCGACGGTGTCGGCTGACTTCCCATTCAATGTACTCCGAGTAGGCCGCCCACTCGAGGCCAAATTCCCCAGCTTCGACTGCATTGCGCAGCTTGATCTCCAAATGCTCCCGCGCTTTGTACTTCTCTTTGATTGGAGTAGCAAGTCGGCCCGCCGTATCGGCCATGATTTCCTCGTAGTTTGCGTTGTAGTATGTCGACACGAATCCCGAAAAGGTCTGGAAGGTCTGGTCCCAGGTAGCATGCGGGGTTTGCAAGCGGACATCGAAGAAGCCCTTGACTTGACCGACTCGTTCTTGCGACGGGCGACGAGAAAGGTCCTGGACTTGCAGATCCAGAAATCGATCCCAGACAAGGTGGCTATCGTGAATCCTCCATCGGGTTGCTTCGGCACCTCGCTGCCACACATCCAAAACTGATTGCCAGGTAAAGACCTCACGACCGACCAGTTTGTCCTCCTCGGTCCATTGGTTCGAACCAGCATCCCCGTTTGCGGAGTTGTAGAGGTACAGCACCCATTCACCGTAAATGGTCCATAGCTTGGTACTACCGTACTCCTCCTCGATCGATCGCTGACAGAGTTCCATCACCGCGATGCGTTCCTCGACCGATTGCGCCAACATACTCTCGTCCTGAATCCACTCCGCCCAGAGATCCTCACCCATGGCAAAGAGTTTGTCCATCTCCTCCCTTGCAGTGCGCATATCCCTGAGGAGATCGTATTTTCGTGGGTCGCCGTGGATATCTGGATTATTAGGCGGGTAGACATGGTTCACAAAGCCCTCGTGGAGCAGGCGGATGAAATTCACGTGCGCCTCGTAAATATGCGGATTGTCTTGAATCTGAGCGAAGAGCTCCGTCGCCATCCTTTGAGCATCGGGCCGCAAAGAAGTGTCAGTATAATTCCTCCGAGCAGTGCCTTCCCTCGGCCCCTCCGACATTGCGATGTCAAATGAAGTTCTGGGAGTAGGCGTATTGTGAGAGATCGGGTTGACGTGGGGGTACATCGTGGATGGAGACAGTTGGCTTTCATAGGACTCAGTACCCCGCAAAATAGAGGTATTGGAACGCTGGGGCTGATGATGTTGCATGGACGCCAAATCTGCGAGGGTATCCATGCCTGGCGTGGATGGTTGCCGAGATGGAGGCAGATCAACAGACGGAGGTGTGCCATTTCCTCCTCCCATATTCGGGCCAACGTTTGGACTGCTCGTCGCGGGCGGGGAGGGGTCGTTCAATTGCGAAGGCGCATATACGTGATGCGCAAGTGGAGATGAAGTCATGGCTGGCCGTGCGGAAGTTGTGCGACCTTTCCGCAGTGGCTTATTTGGTGGACGTGAGGTCGGGGCAGAAGCGTTGTTGGCAGACACCGATCCGTTTCCAGACGTTGAACGCCCAGATTGAGGATTCGAGTCTGGCGAAAGAAGTGAGTTTATATCCATAATGGAGTCCGTTTACCAAGGCTTCAATGATGGAGAAGGAAGGTGAAGGTAAAATGGAAGTCGCCAGCTGACGCGCTGGCGCGGACGGCTCAAGAAAAAGAGGGAGAAAGGAACGAAATAGATTCGAGAATTAGAGGACAACTGATGATAGCCTCATCAACGAGTCCATTCCTGCTTTGGCCAGAGCCTCGATCGCGACTCAAGAAGCAGGACTTTTGTCGGTCCTTTCAAGTGGTGCGGAAAAGTTCCAAACCACAAAGAAAGAACTGCGCAACTGAAGAGATGAAGGCCGAGGATGTTTCCCTCCACGTGACTAAATTTTCCCTCGTTTCGTTTCCCTCTTGTCTCCCCTTTGAGTAGATGTTTGTTGACTGAGTGGGTTGACGCTTGAGGACAGAAAGGACAAGGATTTATGGGATGGAAAATGGGACGACTGGGGAGAGCGAGAAAGCCGAAGGAGAGAGAGTTGGAGGGGGACTAAGCTATCCAGGTCGAGAGCTAAAAAGCGGGTAAGCGGCGGTCACGATGACGGGAAAATATGGGGAAATAGAGGCTTATAAACGGACAAAAAAGAGGTCAGGAAAAGTGCAGCTGCGGTAGAAAGGACAAGAGACCGAAGAAGAAGACAGACAGTCGAGTCGACGCGGTGGAAATGAAGCTCGTCCACTGTTCCGAAGAAGAGACTGAAAAGAGCTCCCAGCATGGGATAGATACCTGAGGTATCAACGAGTGCTCTGTCCTATGCGACAACAAGCGCAGTGATCGGCCACCCTGCTCAGGAATGAACGCTTGAACAGTCTCGATGCTCTAGCATCGTCGAGCCTGAAATTTGAACTACGTAGTACTATCCCCGTACTATGCAGGAGATTGACACTGATTACTACGACGGATTCTCGACTCCTTTCGATCGAGCGGATTGTGTAACCGATGGAATTGTGAGACATGATTTGTCGCTCAGGCAATTTTGATCGAATCGGTACGACAGCTGCCTTGACGTAGTGATCAAGATCTATAGAACGCTATTTACAAGCTCCTGGTGTTCTGCTATGAATGAGAAGCCTCCCTGTTGCTCGATCTCATGTCGACAACGAGGCCTACCTAAAAGAGCTGGATCTGATGCTGTTTTATGGCCAGAACTTGAGCATCATCACGTGCCCATGATCAACAGTCAGCACTTACAGAAGTTCAGCAGTCCCAAGCCACTTGCATTGCTCTGTGCATCGAGGAGGACGTTCCTTCCCTGTTATGAAACTTCCTTAGTGCGATGACTGTCTCTGCTAAATGAGTTAGTCAACAGTCGAGAGTGGTGGATGTCTGAGTTGGCCTGTGGCTCGAGTCATCTGTCATCCACATCCCATTTTAGGAGTTGCAAACGATCGGACAATGGTTGAGCATAGCAAATGAAGCATTCAATGCTTATAGCACCAGCTGTCATGTCAAAACTTCCAGCAGACCCCTATCACTATCTTGCACCTGTTCAAAAGGCTCAGCATCGCCATGCATATCAAACAGATTACAATGGTGGCTGAGAATTAAGAGCTGGCGCTTTAACCGACACCAGCAGAGACTGCTGAGACTAGTCGGACGATGAGGTCATTCTGCAGGTAGAGTAATACTCCTCTGTTACCAAAGCGCTTAGATACTTAGCAAGGTACTAGTCTAGTAGCCTGGATTAGCTGCCAGCAAGTCGCAAGGGGAGTTGCCGAACTTGCAAGGGGTTTAGGGCCGTCTGAGAGCTAAAAGATCCCTGCCTCCGTCGTCAAGCCTCAGGCAGAGAAACATGTGGCTTGATCAAGGCCTTAGCCACAGTATACGGTAGACCATGTCGACCCACTCCGCAGCCAAGAAGCGCGGATCATGTGCTCTCGACTCTCCGATGCAATTTTCCCTTCCAGTTCCGAATATCCAGATTCGACCAGCTCCGAGGGATTGTTAACGCTCGCTTGTCATGGCCACAATGGGTGCTGTATATCCCTACGGGCAACTGCTCCGGTCAGGTAAGTCATTCTCTTCCCAATTGCCTTGTTCGTCGCCTGTAATATTCTTCTGACTCTGGACCATTTGTTTAGCCCGGACAGGCGTCACTTTTGTCCCTCGACGCACCCTGACCTATTCCTTCCCTCGCCGTGCTCAGGATGATGGCAGCAATGGGCCTAACGACAAACCGGAGGAGCAATCCAAATCGTCTGCCTTGTCCTCCATCAAAAATTTCTTCTTCGGCGGCAGGTCCGAGACCGCAAAGCCGAAAATCACCCGCAGAGCAACAGCCCCTCCCAAGCGTGAAGGTTCATTGAGCGCAGACTCGATTTTCGCGGAAGACGAAGCAAACCCCAAGCTTATTGCATCCGGTCGGACACCGGCAGCACGCAAGCAAGCCACCGAAGCGGCCGAAGGCGAGCAGGAAGCCAACTTTGAAGTGGAAAACCGAAACCGTGTCAACATGGCGGCCGTGCTCGATCCTCGTCCGAAGGCGAGAATGCGCTGGGAGCGCAAGATGGTTGTTCGGGAAGTCCGTCGTCGGGGTCGTCTAACGAAGACTGAGCAGATCATGCGGACGGAGCGCGAGTCACTGTCCAAGTCCCATTGGTTCAAGACGTCCGTCAAGAAGCTGGGACCCCTTGCGCGTCAGATCGCGGGAAAGAATATCGACGAGGCTATGTTACAGATGCGATTCAGCAAGAAGAAGGCCGCCAAGGACGTTCTTGAACACCTGGAGCACGCGAAGAACGTTGCCATTGTCCGGTCCGGTATGGGTCTGGGCGGCGTCACAGAACAGAAGCCCATCACCATCACTCTCAAATCTGGTGAGCGGAAGAAGATCACCAACCCTACATCAATCTACATTTCCCAGGCTTGGGTCAACCGAGGTCCATACGGGGTCGACTACGACCATCGCGCTCGGGGCCAGATCAATCGGCTGCGTCCCCCTTACACTTCCCTGACTGTCTTGCTCAAGGAAGAGAATACCCGGATCAGGGAGTGGCAGGACCGTGAGGCCGAGGCACTGCGCAAGCGGAAAGCCCAACTCTGGACCCAGCTTCCGGACCGGAAGATCACCGCTCAAAACCAGTACTATAGCTGGTGATCGACTCGTTCGCTTCGTTGTTTTATAGCCATGACCAGGCGATTTGATGGGTTGTTATCGGCGTTCTTTGTTTCCTTGTAGTTTTTCTAGATCTCTGAAAGCACTCTCCGTCGAGCGGCTGTTTCAGCGTTTCCTCTTCCACATCTATCGGATCTTTGGTGATGCGAAGTCAATGGCTCGCCAGCACCGTTTGTGGTCTAAAGAATTGAGCTGAAAGTGGGCTCACCATGTACAATACCGAAATATACATTACTGGACGCATTGGTTTTCTTGTTGTTACTAAGTCGGGTACCTTTAGAAAGTGCCCTAGGTTGTGACGTCTTCCATCTCACCTGAATACCTATGGACACGTGTATGCGCCCTTGTCCATGGGTCCAATTGATTATTGTCAACCACCTACACTAGGCAATTACTTACTTCCAATCTTTCTCATACGTTATGATTTTGATGAACGAATGAATATATTTGACCTGGTCCAGTCTGGCTGGCGATTGATTGCCCCACACGAAGCAAAGTCGGCGGCCAATGAAGCGCACTTGCACTTGGAAATGGTCCCCCTGCGTTCCCCCAGAGCTCGCCCACCGCGGCAGGGCAATGAGCTAGAGTATCAGCCTCTACATGAAAGTGCAAGGCCTCATTCGAACCCTCCTCCGGGACTTGGCTTCCAACGGTTCTTTCAAGTAACTGTCATTATGTACGTGCTCCCACCTCGACGCCTTTTAAAATAGAAAGTCAACCTCCTACTGACTCCATCTAGACCATTACTGCTCGTGATCACGGTCATTGTAGCTGGCCTGATGATGATGGCTGAATCGAATACATCCAAGTCGCATTTGAGATTAAGCACTGTGACGGGGTATTTCTTGCAAGATGAGCCGACGACTGATCCGGACACTTTCGATTATGTGAGCTGCTATTGAGCTTAAAGCATCATCTACGACCTAGCTGATGATGGCCAGGTCGCATCAAACTTTGGCTTAATATCTCGAAGCTATGACTCGGACGCCGAGTTTGATCCGGACGGCCGCAGGACGCAATGGGAGCGCTTTGAGTACCTGATCAACAAGCTCAATGCAGAGAGTGGCCCTAAGACAAGCTACAGACTGCTCTATCTTGGCCGGCATGGAGAGGGATACCACAATGTCGCCGAGAGGCACTATGGGACAGAAGCATGGGATGTAAGTATTTCCGCTGACGTCCCTCTACCTAAGGCTGCTCGTACGGACTCGCTGACTGTTCTAGTGCTATTGGTCCCTTCTCGACGGCGACGAGAACGGGACATGGGTGGACGCCCGTCTTACTCCTGTGGGCATAGCTCAGGCGGAAACCGCGCACCGGGCTTGGGAGACGCAGCTCGACAACAAAATTCCATTCCCTCAATCATACTACGTGAGTCCGTTGAATCGATGCTTGGCTACCGCCAGTATCACGTTCCGAGGCCTGAAGATGCCGCATACAGAGCCTTTCCGCCCGGTCGTCAAAGAGGTACGTCGGTATCATCTTTCATAAATCTTGATAACTGACATCGGCAGCTCCTCCGAGAAACGATCGGCCTTCACACCTGCGACAGTCGGTCGTCGAAAACGGCCATACTAGCCGAGTACCCCGAGTACATAATTGAAGATGGCTTCGCAGAGGAAGACCCCCTGTATGATTCAAAGCTACGGGAGTCCGACACCGCGCGTGACGCTCGCCTTCGCGACTTACTCCAGGACATCTTCACTCATGACAAGAACACCTTTATCTCTTTGACGGCGCATTCCGGCGCCATTACTAGTATCTTGCAGGTCACAGAGCACCGGAAGTTTGCGCTAGGGACGGGTGCTATCATTCCTGTTCTGGTCAAGGTAGAGCGTGTGCCTGGGCCATTGCCGAAAATGCATATTGATCCTCCTACAACGGCGCCGATTTGTAAAAATTGATTCCAAGAAGCCGCGAGAGGGTTCATGGAGGTTTTGGCAGAGGCATGATGGCCTATGCATGCGCATCGTCTGTTGTATATACCCAGATGAAATGATATCCCTATACCTAGCTAACATGATCTACTAAAAGATAGTTAAGTCGAGGGACAGTTCTCCTGCCACGTTCTGTGTCCGGACCAGCTTGAGCGCCATAGTGAATGGATTGTAAGGACGCAAGTTACGGCCCAGTCCTCCTCCCTCAACGTAATTGAATCAGCGTCTTGTCTATTCTGAGGATGGTGAATGCTGCTCAGATGTACTCATCGAGACGGCATGGACATTCACCTCAGTCAAGGATTCGATTGTGAATGAACCAGAACTGATTCTTCCGAGTTGCCTCATTGAGATGAATCCCCTTCTCAGCCTCCTAGAGCGCCGATCTGTTCCATCAATCAGAACTTCCACATGCGCTTCTCAGGGATACTCTCAGTTGAAGGCTCTCCTTGTACTGCCCTTCTGACCTTTACCTGATGTTCAGAAGATATACCCAGAACCACGGCTCTGGCTGTGGTTTTCAAAGGCTGCAGCGCTCTGCTTTCTGTTGGGACACCTGGAAATCCACCGTCGGATTCATCCTCAGTCTTGTCGTTTGACGGTTTTGAAGGCGGTTTCGCCACAGGCGTTACGTCTTATGGTATCGTTGGTACTGCAAAAGATGTCATGACACATTGAAACCTGGCCGTTCTACGCGACTAGTCGGGTGGTTCTCATGGAACCGCCCCAGAACAGGAACACTTTGTTGCAGGGCGTGGGCCACGTTCATCGACGCGGCCAACAAGAGCGACAGCTGACTTGGATCCTCTTCCAAGAGCATAGCATTAGCGACCTCCGGTGATGACGGCGTCCAGCAGCAGTCGACCGCGAATGATGAACTGGGGAACAGCAATGAGTGGACAGCCTCCGGCAATGACACTGCTCGGCAGGAAACCGTTAATGCCGTTGAACCAAATGATGGCAACACCACCAGCGAGCCTAAAATTTTCTTGCAGTCCGAATTTCCTGCTGATGGCACTGTCAGCCAGGCCGAAACTGCCGGTGGGTGGAATGCAATAACACCTGGACCGTGAGCTCTGTCAGCAAGAGACTGCTTCCAATATCGGGGCCAGCGGGCCAGGCGTTTTCCTTAGCAATGTCTGACAATTCGGTTCCTTCTAAGATGGACTGGCTCTGGTGAGGAAGCAGCTCTGGCCGAAATCTCAGGGCCGTTCGCGGGACCTCGCCAGCAGAGGTTATGTTCACAACATACAACTGCAGTGGACATGGCATTGGCTCAATTTATATCTGCCATCTTCCTATATGATTCTCATGGGACCCACCCTCAATCTGAACACATTGTTCCAAGCAGCCGACTGAAAGGAGGGCTCTTTCGAAAGGGCTAAGGCGCTCTTGGTGACCATTTTGTCCATACAGTCTCGAGAATTTCCTCCAAAATGACTTGCAGAACCGCCTCTATTCGCTTTCGTACTTCGAGTGTCCGTCTCTTTTCCTTTCATAGCTCATCACTGATCTTCGTCTATGCTCTTCTCGCCGGTTCCCTGCCGAGGGGGACGGCATTCCACTTGGTAACCTAGGCCTGCCTCACGACTTGAAGCCTGATTGGTAGTGTCAAGAAATGGTCACTAAAAAAGATGCCTGATGGAGCTGTATTTGCGAACCGAGACTTTCCTACAGCTGTGATGAAGGTGGGATATTCCAAGTCTTTTAAGATCTTAAGAAAGAAAGATGCTGAAATACTCTTAGCCATCAGCGCATGTACCGTGGAACCCCGACGTCTGGTAAAATGACGATGGCACGGCTGGTGGTTCATACTATGCCAGGCAGGGTATACCAAGCATATACTATGCAGATTGGCACACTGCTTCAACAGGCTCGCGATATCGGTTGCAGAGTCAGTGATAGATCACTTTACAAGACTGATATTGTCTTCATTATTGAATCGAGAGTCAAGAAGAGACAGTAACCCCTCCACCCGGCGAATGTTCAATCAAACGAGGCTGTGTCCCTTTTTACTAGAAATGGATACGGAGAGAAGTTTGGGACTTCGCACTATTATTATCGAGGCAACCCTGAAACATATGACAACGGAACATCGAAAGCTGATCATGGCGCCACAGCTTTTCTTCTCGACAGGTGTCGAGCAATTGGTTACAGCGACCTCATCGGGGACATACAATGATGGTTACTATATAGTGACAGGCAGGTGCAACTTATTGTCTTAGGAAATATCAAGGAGGATAAAATAACACTTACTATACAGGTGGAACGCTTAGCAAGATCTCAGACAAAGGAGATATGTTATTGAATAGTGCTCCTGTGGGCATGCAGAAATATTATGAGAAAGGCTGGATTCAGAGGGTGTGGGAGTGTTTGACATATATAATGTCGCTTACAAAGTAAACAATGATATTGATTCATATTCTATCTTTCTATCTTTCTATCTTTCTATTCAGTGTTAACAGATGATAATGGACTGGCTCTGGTGAGGAAGGAGCTCTGGCTGAAACCTCGGGGCTGTTTATAGGACCTTACTAACAGAAGTCATGTTCACAACATACAACTACAGTGGGCATTAGCTTAACTTATATCTGTCACCTTCCACTGTAATTCTTATGGAACACACCTTTAATCTAAACACATTGTTCCAAGCAGCCTACTGAAAGGAGGGCTCTTTCTTATTGCTTGCCAGGGACATAAGGCTTCAATGCTGCCAGAGAAGCTACGACGGCCTGAAGCTGGATATGGATTTCTACTGTGAATTATTGCATGAGGCGATGGAGTATACTGCGTGCATCTGAGCTGTGAAGGTTATTCAGCCACTGGATAAGCAGGAGGACGACCCTGATTACTCTCTCTAAGAGCAACTGCCTCTCTAAGTGCACGTTCGCCCAGAGAGAGTTAGAATCTGCGGTCACATCGTCGGCAATGGATTTGTCCTACCAATACCTGCAATGATCGAGGCCATCAAGGGTTGGCCGAAACCGACAAATGTTCATAAAGTCCGCCAATTCTTTGGACTCGCAACGTACCATCGCCGTCGCCAGAATTGCTGCTCCGCTTCACGACCTCTTGAAGGAATCAGATTATTTGTCCCAGTCGGCAGAGGCTCTCATGAACCTGCCATCGGGACTGTGCGGCGGGAATCGACCATTAATTCGCCTGTGAGCAAACAGGTCTTTCTGGCAGGGGACTCCAAAAAGGTATGTTGGAATGTTGGATAGAGAAACCTTGGCTCTTCTTATTTGCGATTATCATGTCACTCACTCTAAATATTCGAGATTAGATCGGCATCATCACGTCTAAATACGACCCAGTCTCTACAAGGCTTTTGCCTTTTCCTTCTGGCTTCCGTCATGACCTATCTCTGGTTGCAGAGGAGCCGCGGGGGTTTATATGTCGAGGCTATGCTAGGCCCTGGGCTGGATCTGGTACAGTCGGCCCCAAAAGTTTCTGTATCCTTAAAGGCCTTAATGAATTTAAGGCCATATTCTTATAAGTGATTACCCTCAACACATCTATTTATATAGCCTAAAAATAAGGATATATACTATTTAGTATCTATATTTTCCCCATTCATTCGGCGCGACGTCGCGCCCTTTTGGTCCAGCAACCAGTGTCTTTTGTATTCTCACCATCCGCATCATCATTATCGACACACGTCGATCGCATTTGTTCGGCTCTCTCCCATCGGAGGCTTTGGAAGCATTACTTTCGAAAATGCTGCCGTCGCTACTACGCTCCTTACCCCGGCTGGGACGGACATGGAAGCCCCTTAACTTCTCTGATCCAAACTTCGCCCGGATACCAGCAAGTCAGAAAATTGAAGAAGAAACCTTGCCAGATTATATCGCTTCCCGGTATTATCCTGTTCGAATAGGAGAAATCCTCCAGGACCGGTATCAGATTGTAGGAAAACTGGGTTTTGGGGCGAGTTCCACTGTGTGGCTTGCGCGGGACATGAAGTAAGGACCCCATGCCACCCATGAAATTAACTGCTCACGTACTATCATAGCTACCGTGGTTACGTTACCCTCAAGATCTTCATCAAGTCTGCATCTATGGGACAGCAATTGGATGATGAGCTCCAGATGTATAAACGCATCAAGAGGGGTTCGGAAAACCATCCCGGTCGCAATGCTGTTAGGTCGTTACTTGACTCTTTTGATGTTGAGTTGAATGGCCCGAGGACAAACATCGATGCCTTGTGCATCCTCCATTGTGGGAAAGTGTACTGACCTTTCTGCACCGCAACCCGGCGCGGAGGCTACCTGCGCCAGTCCTGGCATTTGTGCTGAAGCGCCTGTTTTTGGCGCTGGACTACCTGCATACGGAATGCCAGATTATCCATGCTGGTATATACTTGCCCTTCTTTCTTCCATTATTTACTTACGCATGAAATCTATCAGACATCAAGGCCGACAATATCATGTTCGGCATCGCCGATGATTCGGTCTTCCGTGACTTTATGGAGAATGAGCTTCAGAACCCTTGCCCGAGAAAAGAGCTAGATGGGAGAACCATCTACGTGTCCCGGGAGCTCAGAATGCCCCGAGACTGGGGCGCCCCGGTCCTATGTGACTTTGGCTCGGCTATGCCCGGTGGCATAGAGCACTTAGAAGATATCCAGCCCAATATATATCGCGCGCCGGAGGTAATCCTGGAGGTCCCATGGACATATAGCGTTGATATATGGAATGTGGGATGTATGGTAAGACAAAAAGGCAGATAGTACTGGTTGTAATATTCTGAGACCTTGCTTTGCAGATCTGGAACATTTTTGAGGGTGGGTCCTTGTTCACTGGCTGTGACCCAGAATTTCAGGCTTATCGAAGTCGAGCCCATCTCGCTGAGATTATAGGGCTGCTTGGGCCTCCTCCGCCGAGTCTTCTTGCCCAAGGGAAGCTCCGCCATAAGTTCTTTACTGATGACGGTAAGCCAATATCCATGTTCTGTGGGGAATCCCGATATCCGCTCACTATGTATGACCCCTATAGGTGACTTCCGCGCCCAATTTCTGTTAAAAGATCGGATTCCGCTTGAGCAGAGGGAAACAACTCTTGAGGGACAGGATAAGGCCCGTTTCTTACGCCTAATATACAAGATGTTACAGTGGGAGCCGGCCAAGCGTAGCTCTGCTAAGGAGCTGCAAGAGGATGAGTGGATCTGTAAGAACCTAGAGAGTACGCCTTAAAAATTTCCAGCATCAGGCATCCTTATAATACGCTGGAAAAAGAAATAAAATAGCATTATGCGACATGCAAGTTTGTGGGATCTGAACCAAGGAACAGGTCAGTTATATTATACTATCCTGATCAGCTTTGAGACATTCGCATTGACCTGCTACAAGGAGAGACTATTGTCCATTCGTTTTGCCACTTCCAAACGTAGAGAGCTTTTGAGAATTCCCAGTATTCGGGATACCAGCTGCTAAACTCCCAGTCCCACTGACGTATCCATCCTTGACCATGATATTCTGGAGACGTAGGTCTCCATGGGTGAACACGATCTGATGTCTTTTCTGGGAGAGCATACCAGCCAAGAAGTTCCTAATTTGACGTTTTGGTGCCTTTGATTGATATGCATTGATGATTGCGTTGTTGAATGCTTCTTCAGAATTAAATGGTCCTTATGTGCTTTAGCATCCGTGTATAATGTATTGTAAGACACACCCACCTTTGGTGCGATGACTCTCTAAGATAGGATCTGTGACAGGGCCAAGATCAACAGAGCCTATGAAGTTGCTGTGATTAATCTGGTGAAGTTCGCGGAGGTACCCTTTCAGCTGGTTGGTAACCTGATTTTTCGTGGCTCTGTCATAAGTTTCCCAGGCCTTATCCAGGCTCTGACCCTCCACAAAGCTCATGAATATGTAAGTATCGAATAGACTACCATGGTCCTCAATATCTCGTTGAATTGGACCGTAAGAGTAGCAAGCAAACACTTTTGGTACCGGTATAGTTTCCGTGTTTTGTTTGACGAATATCATGCTTTTCGCCTCACTGAGTGTGATGTGGGATCCGAATTTGACGGCAACTTCAGGAGATATCTTCGCTATCTTCACGCCGCCCCAGTTAAAGATAGTGTTGCTGGGGTTAACCTTTTCATTGACGCTATCTGGATAGGGCACCGCAAAACCGGGGACTGAGCAAAGGATATGTACCTGTGGCCCAGAGTCCGCAGACTGAGTGAGTTGCTTTTCTTGCGTACTAGGCATATCGAAGAGACGAACGGGCGGCAATATGGCAAAGAAAAGCATTGACTGAAGAAAGGTGGTGCCATGGTTGAGGTTAACTAACAAGGTACAAGGCGACCAATTTAGATGCGGGAGATGGAATGCGCGTGGAGTTAAGAGGGAGAATGGGAGAATGGGAGAACTTGAAAGTTCGATTGCTAGAAGAGCTGTCGACCGCGTGGTTACAGTGTCGACAGCTTGTTGGGGCGCCTTGCCTGAAGCAACAAAGCTAATCCGATTAGGATGAGAACTGGCCTGGACGAGAGTCTGAGATCTAGAACAGTATGAGAACGAGATGAAGACTTCGATTGATCATCGGCCAGGCCAGGCCACCTATCCGACTCTTTGATCTCTTCAGCCAGAGGAGGTAGATGTATGCAAAGAAGAGCAAGCTGGAAACGCCCTCACTCCCCGTGGATCTTTTCCAAGACGCGATAACCCCACGCTCAATGGACTTCCTTGCCGCCTCTTCGATTCTGGGAAGACGTTGCTGGTTACGTATTCCTGAACATGATGATGTCTATTTTTTTGACGCCAGATTAAGGGACTAAGACGTCTACTTGGGAAGACTGGTGATTTTTCTTCTCCCTTAATACATATTCGTCGGCCAGCGATCGCCGACCGAGATGCCGACGGGATCACACTATTATAATTTATAAAGAGACTAAGGTGACATATGACAGTGTTTATGAAGTAAATAATGATAGTGATTCATATTCTATCTTTCTATCTTTCTCTTCTGTGTCAACATCAACAGGTGATAATTGATCACTCCGGCATATCAAACTGACTATTGAAGTATCATTTCCCCCCGCACTTTTTCCCCTCAACCATCCCACTTCTACTCTCTCTCTCATATAACCACAATCAATCTCTACATCTAAACCATGGAAGGCCTCAATCCCTCTCAACTCGCCTTCTTCCATGAAAACGGCTACCTCGTCATCCCCGACTTCCTCACCCCAGAGGAAATCACCTCACTTCTGACCGAGACCAACACACTCCTAGACAACTTCCCTTTGGAATCCCACCCCCTCACCAAGTTCACCACCGGCGACGACGAAAGCAACAAAAACGACCCCCACGTCGGCGACGACTACTTCCTGGACTCCGGCGACAAGATCCGCTTCTTCTTCGAACCGGACGCCTTCTCCTCCACCCCCGACCCCGCAACAGGCAAACCCGCCCTCCTCAAGCCCAAACAGCAAGCAATCAACAAGATCGGACACGCGCTGCACTCGCTCTCCCCGCCCTTCGAGAAAGTTTCCCTGAGCGCGCGCAATGCCGCCATCGCCAAGTCCCTGGGTTTCGTGGACCCGCGCGTGCTGCAGAGTATGGTGATCTGCAAGCAGCCCGGGATCGGGGGCGCGGTGCCTCCGCATCGGGACTCGGAGTTTCTGTATACGAGGCCGCCGTCGGCGGTGGGGTGGTGGTTTGCGCTGCAGGATGCGGGGCCTGGGAATGCGACGCTGGGGATGTGGAGGGGCTCGCATCGGCAAAGGATCAAGCGGCGGTTTGTGAGGAGGATCGGAGAGGATGGGAAGGCTGTTGGGACGGAGTTTGTGGAGAATGATGGGCCGGAGGTGCCGAGAGGGTCGGAGGGTGACGGTCAGGGCCAGGACCAGGGTCAGGAGGTCAAGGATGAGGATTTGGAGATTCTGGATATCAAGGCCGGGTCATTGGTGCTGATTCATGGGAATGTGCTGCATAAGAGCGAGAAGAATACCAGCCCGCGCAGCCGGTTTGCGTATACCTTCCATGTCATCGAGGGTGCGGACGGATGGGACTATGATGAGAGGAACTGGCTGCAGCCTCCGGAGGGCGGAGAGTTTTCCAAGCTGTATCGGTAGAAGACGAGCATTTAATATGGACTTCTGTCGTTCTACTTATTCGACGATAGAATGTGAGCTCACATTCCACGAAGGTATGCAAGGGTCACGATCCACATGCCTTGCAGGGCCTGTTCCTACTGCACTCCACCCTGATCAGTGATAGCAGCAGTCATGGGTATGACTTGTGCAACTTCATTTCAGTTCAGACTACCTCAACCTATCGATACCCGACAACCGGCGCTGGATCATGAGCGACCCCGAAAGCGAGCCCTTTATCAGATCCTCCTTGGAAATTGAAGAGGAGAAAGACCTTCATCCGCATGGAAATCTACGACAACTCCTCCCACTAGTCGGTGCAGTCTGGCTCGGTAGAATCATAGCATAGCATTCCGTGACGGTTGAGACCAGGACTGATATCAGAGCAGGAGAATTTATCGACGCGGTAGACCAGACTATCCTAGTCTCCACTTATGGGACAATCTCATCGCAGTTCCATAGTTTGTCTATGGGCTCTTGGCTGCTGACGGGGTACAATCTCGGTTTTTGTATTGCCTTGCCTGTGGTGAGTCTTGCTTTGCTAGAACGAGATGAACCAGGCTAGAGGTAACCATACTGACACGATGCAATTGTGATGGACAGTATGGTCTGCTATGTGACATCTACAGCCGCAAGATTCTCCTCTTCACTTCTTACTTCTTCTTTGGGATTGGGTCTCTCATATGGTAAGCTACTCTCGAGTCTGCATGATATGTCCCTGACCTCACGTATCCAGCGGAACCGGGCAAGTTGTCAGCCAAGTGGTAGTAGGCCGGGTCATCGCCGGCCTGGGAGGCGCTGGAATGACGTCCCTCTGTTCCGTGATTATCACCGGTAGTCCATACAAGGCAGCCTGCAAGCAGACAGTAGTTGACCAGCAGCAGATCTTCTGCCCTCATCCGAGGTGGCCGTCCTCCGGGGCTGGACAGAGACCATCAACAACATCGGCCGCAGCCTGGGACCGCCGCTTGGAGGTTTCCTGGTCAATACTCTCGGATGGAGATGGTGAGGCTGCCTGTTGCTTTCCCTGGATATCCAGCTGAGGAACACCAGGACATTTCTCGGCCACCTGCCCCTTTTGGGCCTGTGCGTAGTCAGTGTGGCATATCGACTGCCGGCGAATCCCAAAGGACAAACCGAGCCGAAAGCCGACTGCATTCGCAATATTGACTGGACAGGCATCCTGGCATTCGCAGCGGCGATTATCAGCCTCCTGCTCGCTATTCACCTCCTCGGGACGGACGAAACCGGATCCCCCTGGTTCATGCCCTCGGTCATCACCGCGTGTATCTCGCTTCCATTCTTCCTGTGGGTCGAGCATGCATGGGCAGAACGACCGCTTATTCCACTTGGCCTCATGCGAGGGGTTGTGGGACGGCACTGCGCCGTGCAGATCCTGGTTTACGCCGCGCGTCTCGCGGTAGGTGACCTCTCTCCAGCTGAACGCCGAACGCCGAACGCCCATTCTGACTACACTTCCAGATCGCATCGAATATCGTGCCGTACATGGTTCGCACACACGGCCTGAGTGACGTGGCCGCTTCGCTATTCCATGTGTCGACCATCCTGGGTATGCCACTCGGGGTATTAGCCAGTGGGTACACAATCAGGCGGTATGCATTGCTCGTGTCTGCATATCAGGAAGCCCGTGCTAATTTCGCCAGACTCAAGCAATACAAGCCCGTCATTCTGGGTGGTCTCTGCGCCACGATCAGCGTCTACCTGCTGATCCTCCTGCAATGGCGTCACGGATCCAGCGTCCTCGACGGCCTGTACATGTTCCCCGCAGGTACCGCAGCGGGCTTGATCTTCACCGGCCAGTTCATCGCCATCTCCTCGAATGCACCAGAGGGTAGACTGCCCACGTGTGTGACCATGTACTTTCTCTGTACGCAGCTGGGGATCATTCTGGGTGTCGCGCTCGCTTCGGGATTGCTGCAGGGTAGTTTCAGTAACGAGCTGATGAGGAAATTGCCAGAGTTTGCGGGGAAAGAAAGGGTATATATCCCCCTGTGGTCATGCGATCGATCATGGCACAAGCTGACCTGTGGTCTATCAGATCGTGCACAAAGTGCTCAACGAGATCCGGTACTCGAGGGGGCTGCCTGCCGGTTTGCAGAGGGCTATACGCTCGAGTTTTCTCAGTAGCTTTCAGGCTGTTCCTTGTGAGTTTCCTGTCTAGTTTTTGTCATTGGCTTGCTGATGAGGGTAGTATTCTGTATCGCGTGTAGCTGTATTGCGCTTCCCGTTATCGTATGTGTGAGGGGGAAGAAGATTGATTGATGTTCGGTCGATGGTTATAGAATGCTTTCAGTGTCTCTTTCGCTGCAGAGGATTATCCAGGTTTCATCTATACTGACAAATGCAAATAAATGCAGTTTCTTCATACTGGTCCATACCCCGTACTTGGGAATAGCAGGAATCTATGCCAAATCAGCTATGAGCGGAGAATCGGCTAATATACACCTCTAGGCTTGCCACTACGACTTCGAAAGCAGGGAATTCCCAGACACAACCTTAACGACAAGCGCCAACCCCCCACCAAACAGACAAATGACGCCACAGAAATCAGCCATCTGAGAAAACCCATGATACCGATCCACCAAGGCACCGCTGATCGGCGGCCCGATCAAAGCCGCAAGAGACCCCACCCCCATCCCCATCCCCATATACGTGCCGATGTTCTTCGGATCCTTGGGCACCGACGCCAGACTTACCGACGTCCCCGAGATGATCGCTCCGGAGCAGAACCCGTACACCGCAGCGAAGACGAGGATCCCCGCGTTGCCCTGCACGCGCTGCCAGCACAGCGCCAGGATCCCGCTGCTGATGCCCGCCGCGGCGAGGACGTTCTGCCTCCCGAGCTTGTCGGAGAGGATGGCTGGGACGACGCGGCCGGGGAACGAGGCGGCGTTGAGGATGGACTGGGTGTAGAAGGCGAGCGAGGTGCTCATTCCCTGGGAGAGGGCGTAGCTGGGGATGAGGAAGAGGAGCGGGAACATGCTCAGGAACAGGAAGAACATGCACGCGACGAGCAGGGCGTAGGCGGGTTCCTTGAAGGCGACCGGGAGGAGGAAGTGGCTCTTCCGCGGGGGCAGACGCGCCTTGATCGCTAGGCAGGAGGGGAGTAGGACGCCCATGATTAGGAACGCGATGATGCGGACGGACCAGCCGAAGCCTAGGTTGGTGCGTGTGAGGAATCGGTTGACGGCGATAGGCAGGATGACGCCTCCCAGTGATGAGCCGGCGATGGCGACGCCCATGGCGGCGCCTCGCTTTTCTTTGAAGTACTGCGGTGTTGCGGCCATGGATGGGGCCATGGTGAATCCGTTGGCGAGTCCTCCCAGGACTCCTTGGGCGAGCATGAACTGCCAGTATTCCTTGCACAGGCTGGTCATGAAGATACTGAACAGGTACACTATCGCAGAGGGAATGATCACCTGCGTGCGTGAGACAAAGTTTACCCCCCTAGACATGAGATAGTCGCAACATACCTTTGCTCCATACCGATCAAATAACGGGCCTCCGACCAGTCCGGCAGCGAAGATGGAAAATGACTGCAGTGACCCGATCCAGGCAATCGCCGAGGGAGAGTGATCATGGAGCTGGTTAACCGCGTAGTACGCTTGGTAAACACTGCCGAATATCAGCCTCCCATTCGGAAATACCAAGGAGAGCAGATCTTACCCCCAAGTATTCACATGGCCAAGAGTACAGAACATCACACCGGCATTGCCGATGGCTACACTCCAAGCTCTCCATCCTCCTTCGGGAAACTCGTCATCTGGACAGGCCTTGGCATGCTTCTCTCCTTCCTCGAATTGTCTTTCCCCGGAAGCTCGCGCCATAGTCACAGAAGACTCTGTCTCATCCACCAGTTCATGCTGAGTCGCCATTTTGAAAGAGTACTGCGAAGCCAACGGTCAGTAGACACTGGTGGTGAATCGATGGGCCCATCATGATGGGAAACCTCCCCTTTTATCCTCAGACCATCGCATCCCGTCTCGAAGCTATTCGTGTCAGATCTCGGTATATTGACTTCGGCCATTCGGTCTCAACGAAAAGACCGACGGGAAACTCCCAAAACGGAAATAGTGCAGGTTTTCGCGGCTTTGCGCGATATCTCCGCCGAATGTGCAGGCACTAGGACCAATTTCCTGATTGAGGCAAGAAAAGAAAGACGAGTGGTCTCAGAGTAGTAGAGGCTGGACATGGCGTTGCGTCTTTTGTCTGATTTGTTGGGTATACGATGTGCTCCACGCAGCCGATTTCTAGGCCAATAGATGGCCCATGATCGTGCGATCGAGAAGATGGGTCCCTTCCCATCATGACCTGATATTAGCTCCAAATGCAATTCTTTCTGTTTCTAGTTATTTGCGATGAGCACTGACGTCTTTGGTCAGGGCTTACGAGTAGATGGACGACATCTTTCCATGGCTTAAAGATCGGCTGGCCATCCTCCTTATCTTATCAGATTTCCCCGAAAGCGGCGCATCTCGGCCACTCGTCATCTTATCCCCGATCCCATCCAACACCCCTGACAGCTGACACTTCTGACCCATCATCGACTCAAATCTCCAACAGAGAAAGCTAGGTTGGAAATGGACCCCGACACAAGTGTAGCGACCGACCAGCCCTCCGTCTTCAACTACGTCCTTTCCTTCCTCCTCGTCGGAGTAGCATGGGGCTTCACCACGCCATTCATCCGACGCGCCGCAGCGGACTTTAACGCACGGCAGGAAGCGCACCAGCAATCACAGTCACAGACGTCGCCACAGGCACAATCAACACAGTCTACCACAGAAGAGCAGGAGTTACAGCAACAGAGCCACCCCGCGACCGGCACCACAAACGACGAAGACGAAGAGGAATCAGGAGAGGAGGACCAACCTCTTACATCCAATGCGCGATCAGCAGCAGCAGCAGCAGGAGGTAGCTCTCGTGTCCCGGCGTGGATGAAACCAAAGTCTACCTCATGGCTCAGGACCAAGATCGGCACGGTCTTCTGGACGGTTGTCAATCTCCTCCGCACGCCGGCGTATTCCATTCCGCTTATTATCAATCTGACGGGGAGTATTTGGTTCTTTTTGTTGGTGGGGAAGCATGGTATGTCTTCTCCTCTCTCTATCGGTCATAATAGTTGCTTGTCCAGGCTGATATTTCATCAATAGAATTGTCGTTAACTGTCCCATTGGCGAATTCGAGTGCATTCCTCTTCACCGTCCTCGGGGAATGGTATGTTGAGCGCAAGGTCATTGAGAAAGAGACGTGGTTGGGGATGGCGCTTGTCTTGGGCGGGATTGGGATCTGTGTGCAGTCGAAGAACCAGAGTTGAATTAGCATGATTCCGTATCGATGAAGGGCAGAAATAAGCGATGTTGATAGATCAAGTTCCGTTGAAAGAAATGGCGGACAAAAATAAAAGAAATTGCATCATCCGTGAATCGAACACGGGCCTCGTCGATGGCAACGACGAATTCTACCACTAGACCAATGATGCCACTCAGTTATGAATGTCCCCTCATTTTGATATTATCAAGCTTAAGAATACCACTGACGTTTCCTGAAACCTCTATCATCGAGTCAGGACTGCATCCAGGAGGGAAGGTTTTCTAACTGTGATATCTCAAGTTCAATACATTCATAATGATGACAGCATCCCATAGCGCAACACTATACATTGTATGATGCCCTGTATATGCCCTCCGAAACAAAATGGTATCTACATCATACATCGCATTTATCTTTCATCGACGCAGATTCAAGCAAAAACATCAAGAGCATCGTTGACCGCCATATCATAAAACATCTCTTTCGTCATCCAGAGTACCATACTGAACCCGCAGTGGTATCGTGACCAAACGTCAGCATAGAGCCGGGTGCATGCATCACACGGGAAAGAAAGGCTAGAGAAATACAGATCAAACGCCTCGGAACTGTACGAAGGGTCAGCGCCTGGAAGCAGAATGCAAAACGTCAAAATCCTTGAACATACCATACGAACGACCAGGAACCACATTGCCCCGATGAATTTGAATATCGAGAGACCAGCCACACTCCAAAGCACGACAGCCATGTAGATCGTGGCCCTCTTATCATCCGTTGCGCTGGTGTCGCTGTTGAATCGGTCCAGACCAGCCGCGCTCAGCACAACAGCGCCCAGCGCAAAGTTGCAAAACACCCAAGCGAGCACGACCGCGCTTCGGAACCCTTTGTAATAGTCGGCTTGACGTTCCTCTTCCGAAATGGTCTTGGTTTCCTTGGGCGGTTTCTGTGCAAACTTGGCCAATTCCGCCTCGTACTGCGCGTTAAGATCTCCATCGTCCTGCGGGATATCAACATCGACTTTCCCGCCGGGTTTCGTGTTGGCCGAAGGCAGTTTTTCGGCCTTGTCGTCTCCCTTGGTACCCCATGTGATGTCGTGGGTGTTGCAGAAGGCGTAGATGTTGAGCACGTTAATGTACGTGGGCGTAAGTAGCATGTATTGGATAAACTGATATGGGTTAGATTCACATACAACCAATTTCCAGAGGAGAACTTACGGAGGTGAACATGTGCCAGGGGTCGAAGAAGATAAGCGAAGCCAGGAACCACATGACATAAGTTGACCCCAGGGAGACAAAGATCGAGAAGAATTGGCTGTTGCTGAACAAGTCCCCGACGGTAAATGAATCCTCGGAGACTTCCTTCTGAATAGATTTGACAGTCACAAAGATTGCTGCAAAGGTCAAGTAGATCATGATGCCAATCCAGAAGTAGACCATGGTCATGTAGAACTTGTTTGAGCCGCCGGGACGGTTGCCCAGGGACAGAACGAAGCAGGTCACCAAGGTCGCAAGATAGAGCCACTCAAAGACCACACCCAGGACTCTACCCGCTGTTCCGAGAAGATCATCGTCACCAAGGTAGGTCGTGAGAATATGAAAGACCAAGAAGAAGTTGCCCTGCGAGTCACGTTAGCATTGGCTCATCCCTGCCAGGAAGAAGACGGCACATACAATATTGAACCATGCGAAGACCATGTTGATCGTCTGGTAGATGAACTCGATCAACAACATGAACTTGCGCATGAAGCTGTGGTCGCTTCGCCAGATCTGGTAGAAATGGGCGATCGCATAAACGGCAGCAAAGAAACTTCCGTTCAGCCATCGGCGCCGCTGTAGAATGAATTCCGCCATCCGATCAGGCACATCGGTCTCTCCATTTGACGACTTGACATATTGCAGGAGCCAGCGGCAATTGCGTTTTGTCACAATCTCGAAACACAGAATTCGATCCTCGGCCAGGTACATGTTGGCTGTGAAGATACCGGCATTGGCCCCATGCATCTTTTCACCCAGAAAGTAGCGCTCCAGTGGACCTTGGCCGTTCTTGTCGTTCTGTAACGCGACGTATCTGTACGCAGAAAAAGCACCAGGCAGCACAGAAATGAACCCAAATGCTGATTCCAGAGGCTTATCCAGGATGTTGCTGAGCTTGTATTCGAAGTTTTGCCCGGCCACCAACGGGTTGAGCAATTTCTTGCCGTGCGACAACATGACTTTGATCTCACCACAAGCTCCTCCGCACATGGGCTCGACGTCAAAAGCCTTCCATAGCTGATAGATCGAGTCGCGCCCGGGCTTTGTTCCTGCGTCCAGAAGCACGCAGATGTTGGGGTCCAATACCCGGCCAAAGGCCTGGAAGAACCAACGATGCGAGTTGATCTTCTTCTGATTCTTTTCCTTCAGGCAGAAAATCATCTGGACTGGGCAGGCAGAGCGCCCTTTCAAGTGTACCTGAGTTCCTTTGAGCTCGAGACCGACCTGCGTGGTATATTCGTAGATATGGGCCGTCACGTCCTTGCCGTTCACCTGCTGCTTCGCGATACCATCCTGGTACACTCCGAGTCCGGCCAGCACAGCCCGTGTCCGCGGGTTGATCTTGGCACGGCCATCGCTGATGACGCAAACAACAATCTTTTTCCATGCGTCCTTGCCCCAGGTTTTACTCTGCGTCCGATTGCACATGTACTCAATGTTCTTGAACACGCCGATCAATGTTCGAGCGAAAAGGAAGTCGTCCTCGTTGTACATGGTAATGACGATGAAAAGCTCAGTGTGTCGAGGCTTCGCGAACAGTTTCTGGCGCAGTGTGAATCGCTCCTCGTAAAAGTCCGCGGGATCGCAGGTTGCCGCCGAGTAGCGCATATGAGTGAATTCGTCACGACCAGGGGGTTCCGCGTGAGGAACCTGACTGAGCAGCTTCGGCGCAATGGGACAGTCCAAGACCAGGTTACCGTGGAAGAGTTGCACTTCCTTGACCGTCTTCCAGCGTCGTATCGGCGCCGGACTTGGAGTGGGCACCGCCGAAGGGTCGTCATGGTACTCATCACTGTACGGGTCTGGACCGAACGGGTTATCAGGTTGTAAAATGGGAACTCGATCATCTTGGTAGGGCTGCTGCTGTTGATCGTGATACTGGCCTATATCGTAATCATCTTGCGGCGTGACTGTCGGCTCGTATGGTTGAGTATAGTATGCGTCGTGATGTGCTTCCGGGTTCACAGCATAATCGTAGCCGGGATATTGCTCGGGATGACGTTGCTCGTAGGCCTCATTATGACCGTAGGAATTGGGAATTCGTTCTACCGAATACTAGTATCACGAGTCAACTTCAACGGTCACATTCGCTTCGACTGAGTGGTGTTCTCACGGTTGGCTGCTCTGCTAGACGGTCGCTGGAAGGCATCTGCAAATGGTCATGCACGTATGGATTATCCGACAGCTGGTAAGCGTTCAAAGGCTGGCCTGGCGACGCCGTTCGATCGTCCATATGATGAGGGTTCATGGTGGGAGAGCGATTGCCATCCTCCCCGTAGTGGTCTACGGAGCTCGAATGTCAGTTGGAGTGGCTACCGAGTTGAGCGTGCGATAACCAGTGTTTAAACAAAGACGAAATGGCAGGCAGAAACAATTGCAGAATGATCGCCCAACACCTTGCGCAAGTGCCAATGGAGGCTAATCTCGTCAAAGTCACTTTATCGGGGGCTATGTTTCAGAAAGACAGCGGATGCGGAGATGCGACAGATCCCGCAGCCCTGCAATAACAACAGCGTAACTCGGACAAAACAAACCATGGACTAACCTAAGCGATTATAGGACATTGTGAGGGCAGGATCTCCGGATATTGATCGTTTGAATGAGCTACCCCTTTGTATTCCTGGTAAGGGAGGTGTGATTGGGAATGCGCCAAGAGCGCAGGTGGAATGTGATCAAAGCCCAGTCACTCGATAATTTGTCGGGGCTATTTCTGGTGCGGAGACCTTTTCGACTTCCAAGACAGATGGCAGGGAAGCTTAGAGATATGACAGGGTGAACCTCGGGAATGAAGAAATGGAGAATGCTGAGCGAATAGAGGTGCTTTTCAACTGTCAACTGCTGCCTGTTGAGCGCAAAACCTGCGACGCCACTAGTGGAGGCTGTAAAGGATGGGGGACTGACTGGGGGAGGACAAGAAGAAAAGCAAAAGTCGCAAGCTGAGAATGAAGGAAAAGAGGCTTTGCTTGGCAAGCTTTCCTCACGTTGACCAAGGAACCAGAAGAGACGACGATCACTTTGGATGGTAAAATTCGGGAAATCACTTGATGACGACGAGAAGAGAGATGGACTGTTTACTATGCGCCTCTCTACGCCCCGCAATGGACGCTGTAGTGACTACTCCGTAGTGACGCAGCTATCTGATATGCTTATACTTCATCTGTAGTAGAAGGCTTCTATATGTCCCTGCTTAATGAGAATTGGCACGTCTGAACTGTATATTATGCCACTATGTTGTCTTGCCAGCTGCAGAACATTGATTCGCATGCATCTTCCTCATCTTGAACCAACCATCAGAATCATCAATTCATCAATCAACCCGTGGATAGAGTTGCCTTGGTCCACGGGCTCCAGTGGAGAGTTCCACACTGGTACTACTAATACTTGGTCACTGGGCCAACGGGAAACCGGTGTGCCTGTCACTGCCACAGTGCCACTACACTGTGCCACATCCCCAGTCTGCTAGCCTATGGCTCAGCTTCCTAAAAATAAACCTATGCATTAATTGCAATCGAGGAAACTGTCTTATTTCTGGTCATAGAAGGGTGACAGTAATGATGGTTCGACTAAACGTCACAAATACTTGGATTTGTCAAAATGTCACTATTTATTTGGTGGATGAGCAAGGATATATATACCCCTGGTTATGTTATAAGCCCTAGCCTCAAGCTCCATGAAATGGAAAGTTTTCTTAAACAATAATCGCAGATTGTTACCCGTCCCAGTCGTTTAGGCACCAGTACTCATTATTTTCAAA